CCATTATCGATTGTCACAACTTACTCCATTATTTAACAATGTACAACCTACTACTATTGACGTACTTTCGAATATTTCTGGGAAAGAGACACCCACAGGATTTCCGCGTACCAACATGAAGCAAGTTCTGTCTGCATCCGGCAATACAACCGATATCACAAAAACCAATTGTTTATGTTCAGGCTTTCCAGTGAGGTCAAACGTAACGATGACAGATGAAGTGACTGTTTCTTGTTAACCAGTATCTAGTATGTGCAGCGGTTCAACCACCTTGAAGCGAACTCTCGAAGAGCAGTCAACCCTCCGGGCGAACACTGCGGACAGATTAGACCAGTGAAAAATCAAAACAACATACAGCCCTATTAATATGGTGCATTTTTGGATTAGCCCATTCGGTTTTTCCCTGGTTGATGATCGAGCCATTCGCAGGTGATAACCGTCGACCGTGTAGCTCAAGGGCAAGGGTTTGAAGTCCCAGCCGGAAGAATCGCGGTTCGAGTCCTGACAAAAAGTACGCACTGCTGACGAGTCCCAAACAGGACGAAACAGCTGCCCAGTGCTTTTTGTTGGTTATCACAGAAATTTCCATCGCATTCAAACAGACAGCCCTGTTTGGGCGAACATCGGGCTATCGAGTCAGTTAGTCACACACGCGAACAAAATATATGCGATCTGTGAAAAATCAAACCGCCATCAAAACAGTTTGGGAACGAAGAACTCCAAGTGATCGAAAAGTCCAGTGATGTCAATAACACTGTGTATGAGTGGTTGAACCGTTCTAGTGCAAATCACCAGATTAATGTCCTGGACACAATGCATCGGATAATTCATGTCTGGTAATACATTACACGCCCGACTATCCTCAAAGGTTTCAAAAACTGCGGTATTTCTCAATAGTAAATCACAAGTTCCATGCGTGTGTGGGTATGTGCACGCTCAGGAGGGGGACCATTAACGATTTCTCTTTCCGATATAAAATATTACTGATTTTTTCTTTCATGTCTTCTTTCATCTCATATGATATACGTACAAAATACCGACAGGGCTAAACACGCTTTAACGGTTAAAATAAATTAGCGGTTTGAAAATTAGAGCTAGATCTATACTCATCTTTAGGGGATAATGGAATGTATTTTCTTAGTAGACTGGGGTTAGTTTGAGTATGGACACGTAAACAAATCTGTCCGGTTAGAGGTCAGAGCATCGAAGTACAACCGAAAGCAACCAACCTTAGCTTGTGGAATGTACTGCGATATATGCGGACCATCCTTTGTGTGATAGTAGATTATATTATCACCAACCAGAATCACACCGCCATACGGTTTGGGCACGGGAATCAGCAGTTTCGAATCCGGTTCGATTGAATCTAGCGTAAGTTGAACATTGCGCAAAGCCGGTTCTCGGCCGGAAATTTCATACGTCTTCATATGAAGCACCAGTTCATCTTCATAAATCATAGCAAATGTGGGAAGACTGTAACCATGCAAAAACGCCATATCTACGATATTACCCTCCTCGATTCTGCAAGAAATAGTACTCCATATTAGAACAATTATAACAGATAGACTAACCTGACATTGTAAGTATTTACAGTCCACTGATTTGTATCCAGCAGATCCGTTCCGATCTTCTCACCGATACAATGTAATAAGATAATCTTCAAGAGACCATGATATAAGCGAACAACAATATAATTAGCCCCGGGATCGATCAACACATCAAAACCTTGATCGATCATGCGAGCACCTCGGTCCTAACGCATGCCTAGATGAGAACCGCAATCTTACTTCAACGCTTCCAGATGCAATGGTAATGAATTCGACCGTTTCGTTTGTTCGCACACAGTCAATAATGGCCACACCCGCTTTACGTGTGAGAAGAAATAGCGAATCCGTATCACGATCCTTTTAGTGGGTAGCAATAAAACGTGTCCAACTGTAAGTACCTTTCGTCGGAATAAGCATGCAGCAACAATTTTCGCATTGATCGGAACATCCCGGATCAGCTTCAAGCCTTCAGAGGTCACCTCAAAGACCTCGATAAAAGTGTTCTTGCATATGAGTAGATTCAAATCTGTCGGACTAGTAAAGTGACCTGGATACAATTAGAAAAAAATCACGGATCCCAATACCAGTGCATGTTTTGATCACTGCGGTCGGTCGTTGTATTGTGACGTGGTAAAAATGGGCCATCTCCAAGTCGCATGAACTGTGAGAGAGAAAAACATCAGTTAGCAAGGGAAAAAAGAATACATTCATCATCATCGTACGGCGAAATATAGAGAAGCGAACTTCACCGATCGCTGCCAAACTCGCAATGCATATGCATTGGGAATGTTATAGTGTTAATAACACAACGACGTCGGTAGAGAATCATATTCGCCGACGTTTCGGTTACCGTGGGTAACCCTTCTCAAGGTAGGTTTTACAATCAATACAATTTGATTGCAAAACCTGCCTTAAGAAAGGTTACCCACGGTAACCGAAAGGTCGGCGAATATGATTCTCAACCGACACCAATATGTTATTACCACTATAACATTCACAATAAAACAACACATGGCGCATCGATTTTTCGATACACTTCTAACACCATTTGGTCACGATGTGTTAAAAGTGATCACCATGTGCATTGGGGTTTGATGGACAGGTACTGCTAGGGTGTCCAGCCACTAAGCAGAACGATTAGGGTTCTCAACCAAAGCCTTTAGTTCTGACTGAAGCCTAGCCGCAAGGCAGCGGGTGAAGCGAAGTGGAGGCCCGCTTACTTGGATTAATTAATCTTCCACTATTTTTTTACCGACGGAAACAAATTCTAGTCGAACCCTCAACCTGGAGGACCAAGAAACTGGACTTCGTCCGACCTCTACCCTCCGACCTTCCAGACATGATTAAATCTTCGGCTTGAGAAAAGCGATCCTGTGTAGTTCGTTGGGTCAGAGAGGTGCACAAGCCATCACACCACGCCAAGGTGCAGTCTCGTCTTGATGATGGTAAGACAAATCACATGACACGTAACGAACACCATCAACAAAAACCGATTAGCAGGTAAGAAATTTTGTGACTTAGTAATTCATCTTTGGTTGAAGCACTTGCCGAAATAAAACGGTAAAAATTCCATTTTCGTATTTCGCAAACGATCGGTTAACGGTTTACCTAGAACACAATGGGTTGCACACTTCAGTGCAGCAAAATCATCAATCTACTACCTATGAAGCTATTTGATTTCAACACGTAGCCAGATACAGAGAACTGGCAAATGTGCCACTACACCAAGGAAGGGGGATAATCTCGAGGTCCCCATCCGAAGCCAGACCTGCAACACAACAGGACGGAGCTCAGAGTCCGCAGTCCATTAGGCGCCGGTGTCCAGTTCATTGGGTCATACGTCCTTTGGACGGGGTCAAGCGTCCAAGGTGCCCAATAAACCTTCATGCCCAGTCGAGCTGGTGACCACTGCCACAATCAGAAAGGTGTGCGTGTGGTTCGTACGCCTCCTCTTGGTTGGTTTGGAATCAGGAGTTTTAGCCAACTCCCTTAGATGATTTGTCAATGGTTCACCAATTAGGCTATAGCCCCCGGATATCGGCTTTTCGTCCTCTCAATTTGGTACGAAAACACCCGCCACGAGAAGGCACTGAGTAGGGCTTCCTAAGCAGAGGCTATTTGAGACGCTTGGTCATATAAGAGGTGTAAGGGAATGATGACCGGTCATAACCCGACATACAATCCTGATTATACTGAAGCTTTTCGAAGCTAACATCCTCAAGTGGGAGGTCACATCATATCTGAAAGGCCCTAGCTAGCGACGCACTACTCTTTAAATGCATTCGTCTTTTTAGTTCCCTTTTTTCATTTATTGTATATACAAACGTACAGTCAACATTCAGGAAGGGGGACTGCAGTCACACCAAGACTGCCAGGACGATGGTTTCCAGTTTCCTTCTCGTAATATGACAGCACGAAATCACAAAAGCTCACGTTCTCTCGCTCGCTCTACGAACTCGCACAAAAAACACGCACTCATCACCCTCATCAACCTTCGCAGACTGAACCTCAATGTTGATTCTGCAAGCCAATTTCTCCATTTTCCTTCTTTCGTCCTTACTTGATCGAACCACAGATCTCCCCCTCGTCAGACATCACCCACCTTCAAGAACCCAACTCCATTTTCCATTCCTTTCCAAGACTGTCAACCTGATCCATTCTTTTGCCGATGTCGCCACTCTCTCCTGCCCCCTCCCCTACCGCACTACTCGCCATGCCCAAACCAACATCGATAATGTCCGTAGTGCAGTTAATGTGTCACTGAACACATCTAGGGGGCATTTCAAACCGTGTTTCATTCAATAGTTCTAGACCCTTTCTTCCGGTAATTTTTTTAAAACATCATTCATTCTCTCCCTCCCCCCGCCCTTTAAATTCCACCCAATTGCACTCCATATACTCTTGGACTGTCCATAACTTCCACTTTATGCTGGTCTCCCTTTATAACTCAGCCTGCTTCTCGCGCTGCGCATAAGGTTGTTTTTTTATTTCGCACCAGACGCGTTTTCACCCCACCTCATCTCCTTCTACTGTACAAAGCTCAAATCCACCATGCACTTAAATAATGCAGTCACGTGTGGGATGGGAATTCGTCCTCTTCTCTTTCCCTTACTGATGGTGTTCAATGAAAGGCCATTCAAATAATCGATGACCTTTTCCCAACATCCAGTCTGCGGTCACTAGTCCATCGTCCGGCAGTTGCTTCATCATTCCATTTCTACCGTTACTACTTTGGTTTTTGTTCTTCGGAACTTGCTTCGGTAGCTCCTCTTCCTACTATTTTTAGCCACTCATCCCATACACAGGCATCTAGTCATCCTTATCAAATGTCAGTTCCCAGCTGCTGTACATCATCAATCTTCATTCATCAATCTACATTATCATCTACATCAATCTACATTCATCAATCTTCTTTTTTCCCAAACTGCCAAATTATGGAACACCGTCTCACTTTCTGTTTTTCCCCCAACTTACAACCTTAAACTCTTGAAACGCAGAATCAATAAACTGTATTTTACATATCTGTATCTTCCTCTACACTCCAGTTTACAGTATGCGATTTGCCGATGGGGATTTCCCCTGTTAGTGTAACTCACATCATGTGTCATAAAAAGGTCGACAGAGTGATGATAGGTCTCCCAATAGATTCACTGCTTACGCATACTTATGGCGAGACCGAAAACAAAGAACCAAATGAAATATCATAAATGAATGACACCTCTCTAAGGAATAGAACAAATGGTGAACCCCATAGTCACAAGGCCCAAATACTGAAATATGGCAGACAAAAAGCCCAGCAGTTTACAATGGAAAATTATAAGGAGTTCAAAGACTGTGGGCGTGGTACTGAACCAGAAGACAGTGACGCTGTCATAAACGAAGCAAAAAACGAGGTACTTCTCGCTGACAAGTCGCCAGGCCTGTTTGTTGCACTGAGTTGAACCTATATTATACTTGAATTCATCTTATATTTTCCATGAGTTTTTCTAATATATATATATATATATTTAGAGAGAGACTACACCTTGACGTGATGTGATGGCTTGAGTGCCTCAATAACCCTGCGAGCTATACAGGATGGNAGTGGAGGCCAGACGAAGATCAGTCTCACAAGGACAGCTGCTTGGGCACCTCCTGGCTTCCTTTTTCAATCCACACCCGCCCCTGGAGAGGTCACTCTAGCAAATAAACACGGTGAGGAGCAGTTTACCGGTCAAAAAGTACCCGTCAGATGAACGTAGAGGCAGGGTACATGAGGCTTCCTCTCGACGGTGGGAAAAGTTTTCGCACTTTGTTGGACAGCTACCGCCCGCCCAAACTGGGCAGCTCTCCGGCCAATAAGGTGCTGCCCCGTCCACGTTCCGTTTTGTCTCATTGGGTGCTTGAGGCTAACGGCCGATCCCGAAAAGCAGACCACTAATCAACGCGAACAACACAACTAATCGAAATTCAAAGGCCTTGCGCGACAGGTCTCCAGAAGCTCCTACGTGGGTGCTTCGTTCACGCTCCTGCGTTGGATTTACGCCCCACCGACTTGTGAATCAGACTTTTGAGTCGAACGCTCCGGGTATTTATAGGAGCTTTGAGCCAAAATTCCATTTGCACCTACACAAAAAAGAAATAATTTCAGTGCATCGGTCATCGCTCACGGTTTCCTGAACTGCATTGCATCGAGTGGGTGGGTAGTATTAGGCGGGTTACTGCTTACACTACTCAATCTTTGTTTACTTCCGTCTTCCATACCCAACCCTCATTCTTTGACCCTTCTTTCGACCCATAACATTCCATCAGACAACTTGTTTGCCACTTACGTTACACTTATATTTGTTGTTTCACATTGCTTTGTACTCGTCCCTCTAAATTTTCTCCTCATTCCTTTTCAGCCCCTCTCGTCCATTTGTATGATTAATAAAGCCTAGATATCGGCCTTCGTCTTCACCCTGTACAACGGCTGTTACGATCGTCTCTCACATCAATTTATCCAACATACAAATTATCTGACAAATGGAACGCTACCTCCAACCCGAAAGATTCGATAAGGACCCGAACACTCCTAATTAATTAATTAATTAAAATATGGTGGCATTGGTTTGCACCTTAGATAGATTTCTTACTCAAATTGGGATTGAGGATCCCGAAAAATTGGATTTTCTCACAATTATATTTCTCCAAGTATCTAGTCTACGGATAGCACAGCTGACAAACTGAGGAATGCGATCTCGCGGTCACGTTGGGAATCCTGGACTGGTGCAGAGCAATCCGAAAGGCGTATGGATCGTTCTAACGGTTACCGGCTACAAACACTTCTACCCTGTTACCCTACAGGTAGCGCTTGATTGTGCAAGGGTTAGAGGTGCACCCTGGAATAAAAGCCGAGCGACGCTGGGGACGTCACTTAGTACCTCATTCCCAAGTTTCTTCATGGATCGTCTTACAAAGGTACATCACGTTCATGCTACGGCGTTCCCAGGAAGCGACGCGCCCTGTGCTCTCCCAGTGGCTGGGGTGACAAATGAGCCAGCTGGAAACCGAAACCACCTATGCACC